GAAAAAAAATCAATTGTATAGTCTTTCATTTGGCAGAGACTTAAAATACTTAAGAGGGAGTTTACTAAAGAAGTTGCAGCTGATCTTTGAATATACCTTTACTGGCAAGTTTTGCTAAATTGCATGCTATTATTGGAGCTTATTATGAATGCCATATCTCCCAATTAACAACTGCCTTTCTTCAGTAATGGGGAGTGTATTTTAATACCTAATTCCTTTAGTTAGCCTTAATGGATATCAGACATGGTGGATGCCTGTTGGTTTTTCTCAAACATTAAATATTCTCAATATCATCCAGAACACTTAGTAATATGTATCAGCTAAGGTGTGAGGTAAATAGGAAGAAAGTGGAGTCGTCACCTGTTTGCACCGAGCCAGTGAGTCTATTTTGTGGGCCCTGGAGAGTTTTTCATGTCTTGTGTGTATGAAGGGTTGGAGTCTTGGGCATATGGTGAAGATTATTTCACAGCCTCCTTTTTCTGTTGCTTTTAAAGCAACCCTGGAGGCTTAGTTAATCCCAGTTTCAGTTTCCTGCTCTTAGTACAGTTTTATTATACACTAGAGGCCCAGTTCACGAAATTCGTACATGGGTAGGGTCCCTAGGCCAGCAATCGGGACCGATCTGTGGGGCAATCGGCGGGGCGATCGGGTGGCCCCTGCTGGCACCGCCTTGTCTGGCCTGGTGTTGCCCGCTCACTGGCCCTGCCCCCCGTCGCCACCTCCACCAGTTGCCTCCCTTTGCAGGGTGACTGGCAGGGTGATCGGAGGGGCTCCTGCTGGCACCCACCTTGGCTGGCCTGGCGCTGCCTGCTCGCCAGCCCCGCCCCTGCCATCACTGCCAATTGGGGCCTCCGGGCTGCATTGAGCGTCTGCCCCCTGGTGGTCAGTGCATGTCATAGCAACCATTCGTTCTTCTGTTCATTCCACCGGTTGGTCGATTTGCATATTAGGCTTTTATTATATACAATTCTCTGACTCTCTCCTAGGAGAATGAGTAAAGTTTGTCACCCACCTTTGTAAAAGATTTAGTCTGGGTCCCAGCTGCAATTCCAATTGGCCTGGCCTGGATCTTTACCTGAAGAATTAGGATTTTCATACAAATAAAAATCATGATAAAAAAAAACATTAGTTTTGCCCTAACCGGTTTGGCTCAGCAGATAGAGCATCGGCCTGCGGACTCAAGGGTCCCAGGTTCGATTCCGGTCAAGGGCATGTACCCTGGTTGCGGGCGCATCCCCAGTGGGGGGTGTGCAGGAGGCAGCTGATCGATGTTTCTCTCTCATTGATGTTTCTGGCTCTCTATCCCTCTCCCTTCCTCTCTGTAAAAAAATCAATAAAATATATTTTTTAAAAAAACAAAAAAACATTAGTTTTAGTATAATAAATGCCATTTAAAACTAAAATCTCCAAATATTGAAAAGCTTACTGAGCTCTGTTCAAGTGACCTCCTTTATTTCACTGATGGTTGCCATGACCCAAGTACTATTACTGTTCAGTGAGAGATTTGGAAGCTCTCATTCAGGTCCATATAGTTAAGAGTGCCCAGCTGTTTGACCTCCTGAACTTAGTTGAAGGTCTTTCCATTTTCTGTGCTTCAGACAAAAGAGTGGACTCTTCCTCCTGGATCCTTTCACTGTTCACCACTGTAGCTGTCTCACAAAACAGTGTCACATTTAACTCCACTCTACCTTTCTATAAGAGCAGTCACCTTTCTCAGATGCCATTGTTTGTGGCCATTTTATTAGATGAATCACTTACACAAGAAATCTGCCCACCTGCATCAGTATTCCAGAGCCAGAGCTTCTATGTAGATGTTGTTCCTTACTCATTCTGCAGGATGATGTATCCATTAAGCAAGCACTCGTGCCATGCCCTGCCCTGGCATCATTCTAGACACTGGGCACACAGTGGGCAAAGTGAAATGTGGTCTTTGTCCTCAGGGAACAAATAAATGGTTACTAAGGAGAGAGACCAAGGCAGCAATGTGGCAAGTGGAGGGATCACCCAGACTAATGTGAGGAGAAGTCAAGGTAGATTTGCCCTGTTATGGTTTCTTATTTTATTACTTTCCAGTAGACTGTTGTCACTTTATTGGCTATTTTGTTTTGGGGATTTTAAATATGTTAGTAGTTTCTTCTCATAATTTTAACTTTATCTTTTAGTGCATACAGTGCCCTTATTCATTCTAGGGAACACCTGGTGTATGAGAGCCATAAAAATCTAGATTTTAAAGATTTAAAAATTGCTTTTTTCTTAATAGAGCCCTGAAAAAAGAGCAATAACCTTTATGAGCAAATGAACCATTATTTTATATCTTTTTATTCAGCAAATAGTTGAGTGCCAACCCACTTCTTGGCAAAGCCATATTTTAATAGAAGAGGCAGACTAGATTCTGAACCCCCTCCAAACTTCCCTGTGTGTTCACCATTGCACCTGTTTAACAGACAGTGAGGCTGTTACAGACTGCAAAGGAAGCCATAGGAAACTTCTGCTGCTTTAAAGGGAGCATTATGACTCTTGTGTCTCTGGGTTAGGAATCAGGGGAACCAGTGGAGGCTCCACGGAGGAGCTGCTATCTGATGCTGTGACTTTTCTTGATCTGCTCAGTTTTACTTTCACTAAAGATAGTTTCCCCTCCCCCTTTCCTTTCCCTTTTCTCTTCTTCTTCCACCTCTGCCCCTCTTTCTCCCCATTCTCCCTTCTAGATACCTCACCCCTGCTGCCTCCCCTGCCCCTCTTCACCCACATAGTCACTGTCTGAAGTGGCCTTGCTTCTTTAGTTTTATTTTTCACTGTTAAAGAGACCACTTTAGTTCCTTCTCAGATGCCTTGTATAACATTGTAAGCCTAATTCAGGCCTCAAAAACACCTAGATTTACCTTGTAATTTTTTTCTCCAAACTATTAGAAGACTTAAGAGCAGAACATAACAGACTTTATCCCTCCCTCTCCTTTTTTGTCCCTTCACCCTCTACCCAGATATTTAAAAAAGAGGAGCTCTCATGGTTTAGGCCTGGCCCCTTCTTTTCTTTCTCTCCCCTTTTCCCCAGGTCACTGGATCCATGCCCACAACTTACTCTGTGTGTCACAGACTCTCAGATTTCTATCTCAGTGCTATTTCCTTTGTGCTCCAGACCTGCATGTATGCTGCCTAAATGGCATTCTCTGAGACATCTCAGAAAGAAAACATCCACAGTCATCCTTGTAATTATTTTTCACCAACCTCTCCCACCTGGTGTTCCCTGTCTCAGAAGGTGTCACCCATCCAGCTGTGTGACCTGGAAGTCTGGGATCTTCCACAGCAGGTCATCTTCACAGCTGTTGGGGTCACAGGAATCTCTGGAATGTGACTGCCAGTCTCCACTGTCAAACACTGGTCCTCTGTTAGGACTGCTTCGTCATTTCCTGATGCCTCTTCCCATCAGCTCTACTCCCTTCCAGCCCCTTCTCCCCTCTGTAGCCAGAGGGGTCACTGCCCCCTCCACACTTTGTCTCCAGTGATGAGCACAGAGCCTGGTACTTGCTGCGTGCTCAGTATTTAACAGTGAATAAAGTTCGACAATACCTGTCGTTTATTGTTTTCATCCTGTAGTCTTTTTTGTTGTATAATATTAGTCAACTATGGCATTATCATGTTTTTCCACTTCCACATTCATGTCAAACTTCTCAAAATCACTCAAGAGCTTCCTGACGTACAGCCTCCTCCCCAGAGTCCTAATGATGTAACAGGTGTGAATTATTTCCCTTTTTTAACTTTTCCCATCCCGTTTATGAGCAATAGTATTATTTAGCAGAAAATAATTTCTATTTTATTTATGTATTTAACATTTTACTCTCTGCACATGCCTTTTTAGAAATTGCATATTTTAAGACTTTACAGAAATTATAAACTATGAATAATTTTAACACTGTAGATTTTATCTGTGTTAGCAAGTTTTTTAAGAAGTAGGGATAATTAAATTTGTTCCTTTCTGATGCAGTTCCAATTTATAAATGATAAACTATAGAGAAAAGAATTCCATTGTTCAGAGAAATATAACAGATTTTTGCCAAAGGAAACTTTAAAAGACATTTCTTGTTACCCAACTCAAGTGGTGGGGCTTTATGGATATTTCTGATGTCTATCCTCAAACTAAATTGTGCCAGTTTATAAATCCTATTTTATTTGGTTTTATTTTCTATCTTCAGCTGAAATTTTTTCATTAAAGATGGGTTTATCAACCCATTTTAATGAAAATATGTGGTTTATCAAACCACAGTGAGATGCTACTTCACACTGAAATAAGCCAGACACAAAAGGAAAAATACTGTATGATTCCACCTACATAAGGTACCTAAAGAAATCAAATTCATGGAGACAAAGTAGAAAAATGGTTAATAGGGGCTGGGACAAGGGAATGCTGTATTGTACAGAGTTTCAATTTGGGAAGATGAAAATGTTCTAGAGGTGGGGATGGATGGTGGTGATCTCACAGCAGTGTGAATGTACTTAATGCCATAGAGCCTTACACTTAAAAATGGTTAAATGGTAAATTTTATACTATGTATATTTTACCACAGTGATACAAAAAGGTTTATCAACACTGCATGTAAATCTACAAAATCCTCAAAAGTTTAATTAAAAAACTACAGATAGAAAACAATAGGTTTATTCTTTCACATTCTTTGCTCTGCTTACTGAAACATTTGTTGTTTTGTTAAATTTGTATTGATATCATAGTTGATAGAGTGAGAAATTTAACCTAAGGCTCCTGGAGTTTGTTCCTGGCTTGGTGTCTTTTAAGACCCAGTACATCCACACAGCCCAATTACAGAATGTGTGCATTACACATTAGACTATTTGAGCTCTTGACTTTTTTAAAATAAATATGATCAGGTAATAAATCCCTGTTTAAAGGCTGGTGAAATGTAATCAGACAATTTTAGAATTTTTTTATGTATGCTAGTATGTGAGAGAAAACAAGTCAAGTTGCTTATCTCTGACATTTTCTTATCTTCCAGGTATACCTTGAAAGACTTTTAACATATGCAGAGATAGATATCTGTCCCGCCAACTGGAAACGAATTGTTCTCGGTGCGATTCTGCTGGCCTCCAAGGTGTGGGATGACCAGGCTGTGTGGAATGTGGATTACTGCCAGATCCTGAAAGACATCACAGTGGAGGACATGTGAGTATGTGTGTGTATGTTGGAGGGGAGAGCAGTGGAACTGCTTAGGAAGGAGATTGTCTTTACAGTGTAGAATGAATGAATTTGACTGAAAGTCTTTTGGGAGCTGATGATATACAGTGAAGGCACGGTTGTGGAATATTATATGTAAAAACCTGTATTTCTTTTCACTGGATCATGAATAGGTACTGGCAAAGCTTTTCTTTACTTTCTTTAGAAAGGTGTAGAACAGTGCCTTCTGCAGTCTGTGGCAGTTTACATTTGAGTTGTATCCCACTGCAGACTGATAACACAGAGTTAATGTCCTGCACCATTCTTTTGTGGGCCACAGAAAGAGCAGAAGAATTAAAATATTGTTTCTTTTTTTTAAATACTGATTTCAGAGAGGAAGGGAGAGGGAGGGAGAAAGATATAGAAACATCAATGATGAGAGAGAATCATTGATCAGCTGCCTCAGGCACGCCCCACGCTGGGGATTGAGTCCCCAACCTGGGCATGTACCCTGACCAGGAATCTAACCGTGACCTTCTGGTTCATAGGTTGATGCTCAACCACTGAGCCTAGCCAGCCAGGCTCTTTTTAGTTGCAGAGTGAAAACTTTCACTGCTTTGTCATTCGTATAGGTTCAGTTGTTTAAAAGGGGCATTCTGTCCCTGACGCCTGTCATGCATCTTGTTAAGATGGCATGTTCTCCCCAGCTGGGCTCAAGTGCCCACAGCTGAGTGGAAATACCATAAATCCTGCGGGGGAGGGCACCCCAGGGCTCTTAGGACAGCCTTAAGATTTCTCTTATGGTTCAATCCTCAGATTTAGGTAAGGACTGTTAGCAGGAGACCTGTAGGTCTATTCCCTGGGATATCTGGGGTCTGGATTCAGAGCCTCTTAGGAGGAAGGAGCTGTTTTGGAAAACAATCAGGATGAACTACTTACAGTTGCTTAAGGTTTATAGTAACTTTTGACACTGCTCATGCTAAAATTTTTTTCACATTATTTGTTTGGCTTTCTTGAGGAAGCTTTAGGCTGGAGGAGGTTCCCAGCTGTGTCCTAATCCACAGCCATTTCCCTGAACCAAATAATCCTGGGGATGCAGGATCTTCACGGTGCCTATTACTACTACTTTGTGGGGTATCACATGGATTTCTCTCCAGGTTGGGGTACCCGTGCCTTATTTACTGACTTTCTGGGCACCCCGTTTTATGGCTCTTGTGAAGCATACTTGTTGATGTTCTTTGGGTCTTTTGTTGCAGAGCTCATTCCTGCTGCTGACCTATGAAACTCCTTCCTGTGTCTGTAACTCTCTATTATAAAAACTAAGAAAAGTATAAAGAAGTCTTTGATAGTAATAAAAATAAAATTCTTGATTATATTTCAAATGGAAACAGCTACAAAAATAATTGTCATTCAGACCATAAAGGAGAAGGACATTTGGGTGCAAGGTTTAAGAAATGCTGACTTTATTGGTTGGTGGTTCTCTCAACTGCCAGACCAGACACCATGTGACACTGTATGGCACACCACAGGGATCATGATCATCAAGGTTGTCTCTTCTCCTTTGTACAAAGTGGATAATGTACAACCAATAACTTGGTGTGGGTGGCCGTACTGAGGTTCTACAAGAGCAGGTAGAAAGGGTTTCCCCACCACGAGGAGTTGTATCTATTAAAGTCAAAGAGGAAAATACCTCCTGAAGTCAATGTAGGTCTCAAATCTTTTCATCATTTATATCCTGTTTCTGTAAGGAAATTAGATACAAATGCAAATTACAAATACTACAGAAGCGTTAAAATAACAGAGCAGAGAAAAATGAAGAGTGAAGAGTCTTAGGGGTTGGGAGGAGATTCTTTTAACATGAGAGCTAAGAGAACACACTCATGTAAGTACATGAATTTCCAAGACTTATTGTAATAGTGTCATCCCAGTGAGTCTTTAAATGCTTTTAAAATTATATGTTAAAATCACATAGTCATCTATCAGTAAAAATTACTTAAATGAGCCTTCCAATTCCTTCAGTTTGGTAAAAGCAGAAATTGTAAACCACCTAAGATATTAGCCTGTCATTAGAGTTATTTACTTTTTTAAAACCAAAAATTGGAATAAGTCCCTTTACTTGCCTTCTCAGAGGTTCTTCACCTTGGAACAACAAACTTGGTAAGGGTAGGTGACTCGTCTTCCTTCCCCTCCCAGAGTGGGAGAAGAGTAACAAGGAAAGAGAACCTGTACACTTGGTGTATCCTTGGGCAAGTCAGTTTTAAGAGAGAGAAATGAAAGTTAGTGATCTAGGAATCTGTTCCCTAATGCTGTTGGGTTCCTAGGCTTGCTTAGAGAAAGCCTGTGTGTGCGCTAACGGAAAGCATATTCCAGCATGAAGACCAATGTCCCTTTGAGCCTTCTAACACAGCAGTCGCCAACCTTTCGGACCTCACGGACCACCAGTGGTCCACAGACCACCTATGGCATTTTGTTATGGCAGCCCAGAGACTAACATAGATTTTGGTACTGGGAAGGGGAGTGCTGCTGTAATAAATACCTAAAGATGCGGAAGCAGCTTTTGAACAGGGTAGTGGGAGAAGAGTTTGAGGCTCATATTGGAAAAACCCTAGATTGCCTGAAAGAGATGATAAGTAGAAATAGTGTTAAAGGCAATTCTGGTGAGGACCCAGCAAGAAAAGAGTGGAATTGTAGAGAAGACTTCTGTAATCTTGGAGTTTACATAAGCAGAATGTCATTAGAAACATGAATATTAAAGCTACTTGTGAAATGAGACCTTAGACAGAGATGGGGAACATGCTATTGGACATTGGAGGATAGGTGATCCTTGCTGTAAAGTGGCAAAGAAGGTGGCCAAATTGAGTTTTAATGTTTTGTGGAAAGTAGAGTATTTATTTATTATATTTTTATTGATTTCAGAGAGAAAGGGAGAAAGAGATAGAGACATCAATCATGAGAGGGAATCATTGACCGGCCGCCTCTTGCACGCCTCCTACTGGGGATTGAGCCCACAGCCTGTGCATGTGCCCAGACCTGGAATCAAACATGACCTCCTGGTTCATAGGTCGATGTGCAACCACTGAGCCATGCAGGCCGGGCATTTTTTTTTAAATATATTTTTTTCAATTACAGTTGACATACAGTATTAGTTTTAGGTGTACAACATATTGATTAGATATTTGTATAACTTATGAAAAGATCACTCCAATAAGTCTAGTACCCATTTGGCACAATACATAGTTATTACAATATTATCTATATATATAAAAGCCAAGCGACCAGAATGACCGGTCGCTATGATGCACACTGGCTGGCCAACCTCCTTTGGCCCCTCCCCCTCGGCCCCGGGGCTGGCTGGCCAGACCCCACCCATGCACGAATTCGTGCACCAGGCCTCTAGTTGACTATATTCCCTATGCTGTATTTTACATCCTCATGACTGTTTTTATTATTGGAAATTTGTACTACTTAATTTTTTCACCCAACTCCTCAACCCCCTTCCATTTGGCAACCATCAATTTGTTTTTTGTATCTATGAGCTTGTTTCTGTTTTGGTTAATTTATTTTGATTTTTAGATTGCACATACAAGTGAAACCATATGATATTAGTCTTTCTCTGGTTCACTTATTTAACTTAGCATAAAAAGCTCTATGTCCATCCATTGCAAATGGTAGGATTTTTTTTTATCACCGAGTAATATTCCATTGTGTATATGTACTACATCTTCTTTATGCATTCATCTACCGATGGACATTTAGGTTGCTTCCTTATCTTGGCTATTGTAAGCAGTGCATTAGTGAACATATGGATGCATATATATTTTCAAATACGTTTTTTTCGTTTCTTTGGATAAATACCCAGAACTGGAATTTCTGGGTCTTTCTGTGTCTTGTTATAGCCTTTGTTTTAAAATCTACATCTGTTGTACGTATTGCTCCTTCAGCTTTTTTCAGATTTCTATTTGCATAAAATACCTTTTCCTTCTCTTTACTTTTAGTCTGTGTATCTTCAATTTGAAGTGAGTCTATTATAGATAAAATATATATAGGTATTGCTTTCTTATCTATTCAGCCAACCTGTATCTTTTGATATGAGCATTTAATCCATTAACATGTAAAAACTATTGATAGATATGCAGTGATTGCCATTTTATTATTTATATTTTTGATCTTTTCTTCTTCCTAAAGAAGTCCCTTTAACATTCCTTGTTTGTTTGTTTGCATAAATATATTTTTATTGATTTCAGACAGGAAGGGAGAATGAATCACTGATTGGCTGCCTCTTGCATGCCCTCCACTGGATATCAAGCCCACAACCCAGGCATGATCCCTGACCAGGAATCAAACCGTGACCTTCTGGTTCATAGGTCGATGCTCAATTCTGGTTCATAGGTTGATGCTCAACCACTGAGCCACGCCTGCCGGGCCCTTTAACATCTCTAATAATAAAAGCATAATATGCTAATTAGACCAGACGTCCTTCCAGTCGACCTGCCGGATGAAGCTGGGGCTGCAAGGGAAACCCGGGTCCTGGGTGCCTGCCGGTGATTAGAGCTTGGAAGCCTGGGTCCCAGGTGCCTGCCAGCAGCCTGAGGGAAGACCAGGTCCCGGGTGCCAGAGGGAAGCCAGTGCTGGCAGGTGGGGGAAGGAAGGCCTACTCTTGTACGAATTTCGTGCATCGGGCCTCTAGTTTCTTATAATACTGACTTGATAGGAATGAACTCCTTTGCTTTTTCTTGTCTGGGTAGAGTATTCTTGATTGTAGGTCCTTGTTTTTCATCTCTCTTAATATTTCTTGCCACTTCCTTCTGGCTTGCAAAGTTTCTGTGAAGAAATCAGCTGACAGTCTTATGGGAGCTTCCTTGTAAGTAACTAACTGTCTTTCTCTTGCTGCTTTTAAGATTCTCTCTTTGTCTTTAACCTTTGCCATTTTAATTTTTAAAAAATCTTTATTGTTGAAAGTATTACATATGTCCCCCTTTTCCCCCTATTGAGCTCTTCTAGCCTGCCCC